GCTGGGTGGTAGGCCCTGCTGTGGCAAGTGTTCTCAACGCTTCCCTTATTTAGGTTAATTTTTAAATACAATATTTAAGCTTGGACCCTATTTGAAATTCTCCATAGTGTTTGGCTAACCTTTTCCAATTAGCCGCACACACAATTTTTTTACAGATGACAGACCGACCAAGTAATAAAAGAAAATGCAGGGAAAAGATATTTGATCATAAATGAAACAAGGAGCTTTCCGATGTGACACGGACTCTGTATTTGTTTTCTCATGTGTATTTTAATTCACTGCTGCAAATTGTCATTGTTTGCTTATTTTGTTTACTTTAAACATCATTTTACTAAAAAGTAGGAACTTCTGCCTGTTCATGCTGTTTGCTCTGCTCTGCTGTGCACTCCGAGTTAACTAAAATTCCATAAACTATTCAAATTATCAAGTAAAACTCCCTTACAGATTTATCTATCTATATTAAGATACAAATTCATGTTGTCTAGTAGTACTTGTAAACACTTATCGGACCAAAAAACGAAAAAAAAAAAAAAACAACCCTCTAATACAAACATAAAGACAAACGTCAATAACATTTTCATAGCCAAGCAACCACTTTTTCTAAAACTCACTCTCAAAATTTACGCTACTAAAAATTCCTGGTACGAGTAATGAGCAAGAAATTATCTTTATCTTTCTATAAAATATCGAAAAACATTTGAAATCAAGTTCCTATGTAATAATTGTAAAAATGTACAGATTTATGTTGATTTGATTTGATTTTGTCCTTCCACAACGCCAAAAAATTTAACATATTCTCTACGCTCGCACCTACTCTCGTATGTATAACTAACTGCCTACATCGCCGATGGTACGCATACGGTCCGGTCCGGTGCGGTCCGGTTCCGTTCCGTTCCGATCAGTGTACTTAAAATAAGCTTTCTTTTCGATTTGATTGAGTAATGTGTATGCTGTCCTTCCTTAACTGTGTCTATTTGCTGCGCTAACTTGAGTTCACTCTCTTCGCGACCCACCATTTAGGTGATTAGATTGCATTCTGTAATTGTGAGTTGAGGTTAAACTCTTCGGGGTGTAGTTGTTCTATGATGGTTCTTGCTGCCTTGTATTATATCTGATTATGCGGATGCTACTGTTCTGAAATGATGAAGGGAGTCCTCCCTGAACTAATCTCGTACATATGTCAACATTTTTGCTCTGATATGTTTATCTTAATGTTTGTTTTGTGTGTAAGCCGCGCTCCCCTTTCTTTAGTTTCGCCATTTTGTTAGTTTTTAAAATTTTTTGTTTTTCAACTAAAATCGCAAATTGTACGCTCTTCAGAACAGCACACACTTTTGGCTACACTCGCTTTTGATATTTATGCTATTTCTCTAATCACTTTCGGTTTTGTTTTTGTTTCTGTTTGCAATACATACTTAGGTATATGTATGTATTTATTTATAAATATATAACTACAAATACATATAGTACACATTTATTTGTTTTCTTTTCAACTGTAAATGTACCACTTATGTGTAAAATATGTGTGTGTGTGCGTCTGTGTGTGTGATTGAGTGGGGAGTGTGAAGAGAACTGAACTCATAATCATAGTATATTAGTCTTCAATTTGAATTTCGCCTTGTATTTGTAATTTGATAAAATCTTGTACTGCAGCTCGAAATCTACACTAAAAACGGTTTCTTTCAGTTTCTGTTTTTTCTCTTCTTTTGTTTTTTCAAATAGTTAATTACGCCTATTGGGGGGTACAAGTTTGAAGCGGGAGGAGGGGCCCAGGCGCGCAGGGGCGGTCAACGAATGCAATTGAATGTGTGTTTTTGTGAGATCGCCTCGCCTCATCATGTTTTGTTGTTGCTTTAGCAGTAATAAATTCTTCAATTTATTTGTAAATTGATTAACTTTTCTATTTCTACGTGTAAATTAATAGTTGTAGTTTTTGTTTTTTCTGTTTCTGTTTTGTTTTGTTTTAGTTTACGGTTTCGGTTTATTTTCCCGTCAAATAGCTGCGCCATCTATGCTGCATGCTTTACTGTACCTACTATTTATTCGTTAGTTCTATCAATTATCATGTTTTCATATATTTTTTCATATTTAATCGGTGCTTTGCTCATCATGCTCTGCATCTCCATGCTTAAGCATCGTTATTTCAATTGTATTTTATCGTTGGGCTAAATATTTGATTACGCTTTGAACGCTGCATACCAAAGAACAACAATGGCCGGCCACTGGCCGCCTTACTTGTGCGTGTGTGTGTGTGTGTGTGTGTGTATTTATGAAGGAGCTTTTGTAGACTTTTATTGTATAAGTCGATGTCCGTAGCTGTGTCTGTGTCTGTGTGTATACAGGTAGTATACACATACTCGTACATGCTTGAACTTTTCAAATAGATGTGTACTTGCAAGTAGTAGCTATGTCTGTATATATAGTATATGTATATAGAAATAGATTTGGTTAGTTTAAATACTTGTATGAAATTTTGATTTGTCAAGAGTTCTCATTTGAAATTCTAGCAGTCGTGGGTTTGATATACATACATACTATACTCGTATAGTAGGTATATGTACTATATGTGTATTACCTTGTGTCGATGCGATGCGCCCTAACAAAACGTGTACAATTATGTTTGAATTTATGTATGCTTGTATGTAATATGCTTTTATGCATTTATATAGTAGACATAGATATAGAGTTGCATATGCAAGTATGTACTATATGTACGTTAAGTTAAGTTAAGAGGTTAAAGTAGGGTTAAGTAAGATAAGATACATAAATACGCTAAGTAGTTTTTTTGTTTTGTTTTCTTGTTGTATATGAAACACTAATGTTTTCCCTTCTCTGTTCTGCTTTCGCTCCTGCTTCAGCTGCTCTCCTTTTTCAAATTTGTCCTTTGTAGTATGTACTTTTGAATTGTGTAATTGTTTTAAAATAACACACACAATTCAGCCCCAATTAGGGGGATGGGGGTTTGATTTAGTTTACTGCAGATTCGTTTTCAGCTCCTCTTCAAATGTTTTGTGGGTTAGTGGGGAAGGGGGGAGGGTCGGGGGTACATGGTTTTTTGCTGCTCTTCTCTTTTGTATTCAGCTTTAGCTTTTACAATATTTGTTTTAATTTGCTTTTGCTTTTCGTACACGTATATTCATGTTCAATTTATTTTTAACATTTATCTTTATGCCAATGCTTAGTTGTTGCTTGTTAATTTTAAATTACGATCACTGCTACTTATTCTTAAAAACTATGTTCATATCAAGTAAATTATAGCTAATTGCAATTTTGTAATCCCTCTGCTTCATCATCTTCATCTTCTTCTTTGTTCTACTTTTGTTTTGTTCTTTTGCGCCAACGTATAAATAATTTCGCTCCTTTTCACTTTCTACATGTAAACTATATCAATTTTTGTTTTTATATAGATATATATTTATGTCGGCTTGTGTGCGTGAACATGTGTACTTGGCTGTGTGTGTGTGTGTTTGTGTGTGGGTGTGCGTGTGTTAGTTCGGGGCATGTTATACTTTGTTGTATGTATGCATGTATTTGTGTGTTCTTGTTGTAAAATTATCAAAAAATCATTAGGTTTTCGTTTTTTTGTTATGTTTTGCTAAAAACACGAATATGTCTTTCTTTACTGGTATGCTTACGCTTAAATATGTATATAAGATATATATATATATCTTCATATATGTATATATACCATTTGAGATTTTCTTTCATAGCTTAAAATTTCCTGTTTCATGTTTTCTTGTATATATATATATATATATATATATATATATATATATATATATATATATATATATAGTTTATAATACATCATATATATGTATATTATATCGCTCTTACTTCCAACCGATCCATATCCATACCTTGTGTATATTTTTCGCTAGCTTAACAACATTTACATTTACAGACACACATAAGATTTTACGTACGTTACGTGTTTATTTAACTGCTCTAAAATGTTTTACTTGATTTAGGGCTAAACAAACAGATACCATATATAGTACTTACTAAATTATAATCATGCTTTCTTTTTGGATTTATCTTCATATGCTTCATATCGATTTAAATAAAATATAAACGTTTTTCCGAAACATCCTTACAATTCTTCCGTTTTAAAACTGGGATTTTTCCTCTTCCTTATCGATTTGTTCTCTTCTTCTTTTTTGTTTTTGTTAAAGTTAATTCATTTTACAACTAACAAAGTGAAAAACATTTAAAAACTACGTTCATTTGTTTGCTTGTTTGTTGTGTTTTGTTTTTTAAAAATTAAATTAAAATTAAGTTGCGCTCGTTTAAAATATAACAACAGCAAATACATAATAAAAATCTTACTCCATGCTTATACTCGTACAATAATTGTTAATTGCTGTTTGTTGTTTCTTTTTTCTTTTTTCTTCTTTCTCGTCTCTCGTTTCCCGTTTCTTGTGTGTTTTGCTTTGACTTTTTGCTGTTTTTAAAAACCAAAACACAGTAGTGCATTTAATTTATCCATCATCATGCGATGCGAGTAGATCTCTTTCATGCAATGCAACTTACTAGCTATAGTTTCTTTTTATTTTAAATTTAATTTTAATTTTAGATTAAGCTTATGGTAGGTAGGTAATACGCCGTTGCTGATTGTTTGGGGCTGGTTTCTCTTTTGTTGTTTCTGTTGTTGTTGTTGTTGTTGAATTGTGTCTGTGTGCGTCGTAAGGACTTGAGAAATTTTCTGATTTAGATAATTTATTTGTAATTTGTTATTTTTTAATCTTAGAAATTTTGTAGTTTAGTATTGATATTTCTTCATTTGCTTCGCTTTGTTTTTTTTTTTGTTTCGCTTTTGCTTTTGGATTAAACATTAAGAATGATTCTTTAAGTGGTTACTGATATAGCTCATAAATCGATTGTTGCTGCTGGTATTTGATGGGTGGTTGATGGGTTGGGTTCGATTGGATATAGGGTTCAGGCTGTATGCTGTGGGTCAGTTGGCTCTTGTTATAGTTCCAGTTCCAGTTCCAGTACTAGTTGTTCGTCACCGCTTGTACTACGAGTTCCAGATTGTGGCCACTTGGGGTGGAGGTGGTGGCCAGTAGACTTGCAGCCCATAGTTGCTGTTGGCACAACGTCAAGTTCAGTGAACCTGACCACGTGTTGGATTCTAGATGTTCGACTTGGAGAAGCTGACGCGCAAGTGATTCGACTCCGACAGCTGATGATTGTGCATTTTGATGAGTGCCAGGACAGCCTCCTCCACCGATGAGAGCTGCAGCAGCGCCATTTTGCGGTCCTTGCTGTGGGGGAAGGGCGGGATTAGTGGCTTGAACAGACGGCGAACGCATTTCGTACTTACGGGAAAAATTTGAAGGCTTTGACTTCGAAATTGTTCGAGGTGAAGGCTTCCTTGATGTCATCCTCAGTGCAGGATGAGCTGAAAATGTGACATAGATTTTAAATAAGCAGCTATCGCATTTAAAAGGCCACGCGGTGCCGTCTAAACGAATGAGAATGGCACTCTATGCGACGAGTACTGGGCCGGCAGGCTCATAAATTCAAATACCAGTCGCCGTGCACAAAAGCCCGACGGGGCGCTTTGTCATATTCGGCAGACAAGGTGACCCGGGGCGTCTGTGCCTGGGACGGTGCCTGCTGAAGGATGCTACTGCTGATAGCGGTAATTGTAATTGCCTCGGCAGCACCGGGCGCTATGTGCCTGGTGTTGATGAAAAACTAACACCAGCTGCGCCGGTTCGGGTTCGAGCAGGCAGAGTGCTGGGGCTCGAACAACATTCGCACAAGCTGCGATAATGTTGAATGGAAAACACCAGAACGTCCTACAACTGCTCCTGGCATTTCAAATAACATATCACTATCATCGATTGCTGAAATCGGGTACATGTTGCAAAGAAAATAATTTTCTGAACTACCAGCTACGGTTCTTCTCCCCTTCAAAGCTACGGAATTGTTTAAGGAATTATTGGGATCTTGATCTCATTGCTCGGTACAAGTATTCTGGGTATGTTGCCATAGAACATACCCTATACATTATAATCTCGAGGTCCTGCTCACATCTATTAGATGGGAATTATTGCAGCAAATACTAAACATTTCCAAAATAAACTAACTAATAGTAAGGGTATGTAGCCAGGGGTTTATTGGCTAAATATAAGGACATAGTTGAACAAAACTTCATAACATACATATGTGGTTTTAATGTTTAATGGTAACAATGTTTGCATACCCTTCACTGAGGAGTGTAGGAGTGTTGAGGTCTGTGATATACACAGGGAAGAAAGGTATGTCCGCCTATTTCGATCAGTATACCTCGCCTATAGATATACCATTTAGAAATGTAATTGCAGTGAACGATTCGAAAGTACAGATATACAAGTATATATTAGATAGAATGGTGACCTATTACCAACATGCAACGTGCTTTAAGTTATAGATGAAAAGGAAAGCTATTTATACATAAAAAGCTGCGTTGCATCAAAACATTGCTTCTAAGCTAGTTTTTTTTTATCGATTTCCTATCAAACTCTTCCGCTTCTTTCCCTTTCCGGACATCTAGCAAACTACCTGTGCAGAATCGGATTTGAGTCGAAAGGGATCAGAAAATCAAATTCAAATTAAAATAAATCTATTTGTATGCTACTGGGAAGGGACATATGATCGCTCGATTGGCTATAGCGATGAAATACTTACGGAATGTTACTTAAATGCAGAGTCGCCGATGGCGGATAGATGTTCTGATAGTTCTTGCTGCCGGGCTTCTTGAAACGATGCAACGGATTCTGTGAGTAGTCACGTGTGAGGCCCGCGTCCGGTTGGCCCTCCTTGGGCAATTGTACGGCCTGATGTTTGCTGGCCATAACACGTATTGGCTTGCCCCATAAACGTAATTTATCAAGGTGAGACATAGCTGGAAAAAACAAAAAGTTAAAGCGGAAACGAGAACGATTTTAGTGGCAAACTTTTTCAGAGTGCTCGTTAGTTGCTGTGTTGTGTGTGTTGGTGGTGGAGGTGGTGGTAGTGGTGGTGGTGCCGGGGACTGTACATATTCGTATGTGTGTATAAAATTTATATATTGGGGATAGAGCCATAAAATTGTTTTGCCGCTCGGACCAAGTCGGGGGAAGTCAGCAGCGAGCGCGTGTAAGTGCCAGCAAATATTTACATACTAAAATGTAACTGCAACTTTATCAATGTCGTCTGCGCGCCTTTGGTGATTTACAGGCGAATGGTTTGCCATAAAAGGCATTGGCAACAGTTCTCGCATCGTTTGTCGTCCTCCGGCAATCCGGCAATGCGGCAATCCTGCAGTCGTGCAGGCGTGCAGTTTTGTAGTCTCGCATTCGACTAGTATTCTCATATTCTCAGTCATAACACCTGAGGCTCTAGCACAGCATGCAGAGTCGCTGCTAGGCTGTCCAAAGACAGTAAACAATTTCAATTTCGATTACTTTTTTATTTAATTTCTCCTCAATCTCTGCAATGGGGGTGGTCGGTGGTGGTGCAAGTCATGCACGTCGAGCCCTTCTATTCTCACCATTTTCCATTTTTCTGCATTATTCTAATAAATTGTATAACATTTTATCATTGTGTCCGGGCAGGGCGGGCTTGGCACGCACTTGTCACTTGTTTTATTGTTAAAAAATAATGTGCTTACTCAGCCGTTTATTGTTCGCCTAATGGATTAAATGATTTTACAAAAAGTACAAAGTACGAGTACATACGAAAATATAATAAATTGCGAAATAAAAGGCATAGCCAGCAGTGACAAAGGCTGCTTCTTTGGCCTCTCTTGGCCAATCGCATGCGTTGCGGTCGGCCCTCGCATGTGACAGACACTTGTGCATAATAAAGATTAATGTAGTACACAACATTCGGGCCCCAGCCCCAGTGCCAGCCCCAGTGCCAGCCCCAAGCCGCTCTTCTACTTTTCGACAAGCCTAGTCAAGAGCGGAGGCAGCAGTGCCAGTTTTCGGCAACAAGCCCCTTCCTCAAAAGTTGCGAATGCTGCAGCTGCTGCCTTTGGCCCAGCTCAAAAAGTATCTTAAAGTTTTAATTACGGGAGGCTGACTAGGAGCGGCCGCCGGAGCAACAACAACAAATCATTATTAACCTGAAGCAGGGCATTAAAAAGAGAGTGCGCGCACATCTGGGCTCTGGCTGGCAAAGGGAGCAGGCAAGCGAAGTAAGTAGCTCATGCATGGAGCTCTTTGGATTATGTGGCTTGTTTCCATTGCATTGCACTAAGCAGTCTGAAGACCGAGAAGTCCAGGTGGGTTTTTTCGAAGGGTTGCTATTTTTCGTGATTTTCGAGTGACATGAGCATAAGTCAAGAGCACAACGAGCTGTATCGATGTGATTTGTGATTTTGTGAAACTGCACTGCTTTTACTCGTATTGTTTTAAAAATAAGTACATATGAGTATTTAATTGTTTAGAGACAGGTCGTAGGTTTGAAAATGTCAGCTGTAACGCAGATTACACGATTGGGTCTTATAGGCTGGCTACGAGTACTTCATCCAAAGTGCCATGCATTGAGTCATTGAAAGAGTCACTTAACGCAAACTGGCAAGCGTCTAGAATGTTGCAAAACTTTCACTGAACTATGTTGATAGTACTATGTACTATGTTGATACTCGGTGGCAGTTGCTCTTCCAGACACGCCACACATGGCGTATGCGTAATCAGCCATAATATATAGTAGAAGTATAGACAGGCTGCCACATGCAATACCCCCACAATGTGGCTCACGCACAAATTTGTTTGTTTTTATTGTAAATGCCTTCATACATACGCTTATGCAAAATATGTTGTGGTAATTTGTATGACAAAACAGAAAATTTATTTACGCAAAATTCCCCAATAGAGGAGAGCGGAGCAAGCCAACACGAACAACGAACACCAATAACTCCAACTCCAACTCCAACATCAACATCAACACCTATAGCAGACCGGGGGATAGCAGCTGTGCGTGCGCCTATAAATAAATATGCGGGTGTATACTCTGCGAGTCTATATGTCTGTTTGTCTGTCTGGCTCTGTATATAGTTTGTAATAAGTTGCGCAAAAACTTCATCCTGAACACCAGACAACAAATGGCGCGCCAGCCTGTCCCACTAGGAAAAAATGTGCCATTATAATATTTCCCACACACCACACCCCCCGACCCCACCCCACCCCACCTAGTAATCTCTGCTCTGTTCGGCTCTGCTCTGCCCGGTCAGACGAGGCTTATTGTTTTGTCTATTTTCTTCGGCTTTGATATTTGATTGCTGTCGCACTTTGTTTGTTCGCCTGTTTGGTTGGCTCGTGCCCCACTGTTTTTGCTGACTTCATTTAGAAACGTAAGAACAAAACAAAAGCAAAAGTTTTTGCGCCTTTACGCTGTAATTCGTGTAAGGGGCGTGCAATTGTAACGGTATATTGTACACACACACACACACACGCACACACACAAACACACTCCACACAGCAAGCCCAAACGAGACACTTTCATATGCATAGGGCGACCCAGGCCAGCTGTTGCCAGCCAAAGCACATTCCTGCCCAAACCATACCAAACCAATCCAATTCCACCCAAGAACGTCGCCCAGTCCAGTCCGGACCAGACCAGACCCGACCCGACCCGATCCGACCAACTGAACCCCCCCCCCCCCCCCATTACATGTTGTTGCTCGGTAATCGTCTTTGTTTGTCGAAGTTTCGAGTTTGAGTAAAGTAACGAATGAATTTGTTAATATTTTATGAGTGTATAAGTGCGCACTCTTACCAGCCAAGGCGGCACTCAGCCACACACACACACACACACACACGTACCAGAGAGACAGGTGAGTTTGTATTAAAACTGGCCAGGCCAGGCCAGGGCAGGCAGCCGATGGCTTTCTGCTGTTGCTTTCGGGGCGGAAGTGTTTGCGATTTTACAGCCCTTGCGGCACATTAGTAGTCTATATGCTGCCGCATAGCCATTAATATTTTCACATGACCGTTGCATGAGAACGGTAGTGGGAGTGGGAGTGGCAGTGGAATGAATGGCAATGAAAGCGATTGTGCGTCCATGCATGGATTCGGCACGAACTGCTGCCATGTATGTAACAGCTACAATAATTCGTTTGTATTGCGAGTCAGTTATTCAGTTGTTCCGCTTGTTTCGGTTCACTTTTGTTTGACTGGCGCTGTCATAAATAAAGCGATGAAAATGTTTCAGCATCTGCTGGCTGCCTACAATACGAGCATATGGACAATGGACAATGGACACCGGGCATTACGCATACGCCGCATAGCCCCTGTGTGTGACACTCGGCTCGATGGTTTTCCTAGAGAGTGGTCTGTGGAGTGTGGAGTGTGGCATGCAGGAGAGAGAAAAGACAAAGCGAAAATTTGTTGCATGCATTTAAAACTATGCAGCTGATTAGCTGTGGTCCAGAATCAGTTGTGTTATTGGGGCTGCAGGTCGGGGAATACCAAGACGGACGGACGAAGAGTGGACCCTGGACAGGTGTAGGAGGTGGAGGGTATTAAAAATGTAATGCTAACGTAAACTCGGAATGCTTTTGAGCTGCAAATATGTGTAAATACATGCTGGCGTGCATGTAAGCAACAAAAAGAACGCGCAAATGTTTACATAATGATAATTAAAAAATTAATTGAGTGCAGCACAAAGCATATTTTCACCGCAAAAACCACCGCTTGCCCATGCCAACAATCCAGCCACCGGCCACTTGCCACCTGCCACCTGAAACCTAGAACCTACAACTACAGAAACCTCGGGCACACATGTACGAGTACATATGTATTTGTTATTGTTTGGGGCAAATTGGGCTGTAGTTGTTGTTGTTGTTGCTTTGGTCATGCTCATGTATTTAAATCAATAAACAGTTTATGGCATTTAATAGGTAGCTTTACGTTTTCGCAATTTGCTGGCGATTTCCGCAAGGCTATTGAGGGTGACGCGGAGGGTGCCCGAGTTGTTAACACGCGCTGCATCATTTATTGAGCAAATTAAATTTATTTCAACTTTATTAACAACAGCAACAAACTGTCAATACAGGCGAAAATGCACGTGCGAATAAAACGTCTGCCTTCCAAAATTGCACAACTGCTGTGGCTCCTGAGGCCTGAGGCCAGCGACGATGCCCCTGTCCGCTGTCCGCTTTCCACTGCCCGGCCAGCCTTCATTTGCTGTGTATTTAAAAAGCATTTTAAGCGCCGGCATAAATAAAAACGATCACGGTTCTCCGAATATTATTTGGCAACCGTTTGAGCGGCATTAAAAAAAAAAAACAAACAAACAAACAAACAAACAAAAAAGAAATGCTGCACGGATTTAAAGCGGATTTTATTCGCAACACTTGCGCGCTTTAAATAAATAATTATTTTACAACCCAATCATTTTCAAGGCATTCAATTGCGGTTGTACTTGAATTGTAGCTCGAATTTTGTAAGTTCAGGTCGCTGACTGACTAATGGCTTAAGGTGCAGGATGCTAGACAGTTATATACACACGGTTCAGTAATTAAATCAAATACATTTTTGGTTTGCGAAAATGGGTGTAACGGACATATATTCGAGTATATAAACAAATCAATCGAGATATGATGCCATATTAACTAATGCTGGTATGTAGCCCAAGTAGGTAGTAAGTTCTGGTCTCTATTGAGGAAGGATGTGATTTTAAATCTGTTCGGGCTGTTTTGATTTCCTCTAAGGATTGGAACAGAGGCTCAAACCCTATCATTGCCTGGACCTGCTTGATTTTTCTTCTTTTTTTAATGCATTATCATTTAAGTTTTGCATAAGTAATCGTGAAGTTTTCCGATGTATTGTAAAATCGTTTAATAATTGTCCTCAACTCGGACAGCTTGTAAATAAAACATCTCGAGGAGAAACATTCCCTGGATGGGTCTTCAACCAGGTCCGACTGTTTTGCAAACTAAGTTGAAGCATTCTATATTTTTAAGTCAAAGACTTTTGCAGGAGTCCTTAAGAATAATAAAATACATTACATGTTTAGAATCAACAGTTGTTAACATAATTAGGAATCCCGAAGATATCCGAAACAACACTTTAACAAACTCTCAATGGGACCCACAATAATTGGGCGTTAGTACACAATATCTATACATGTCCTCTTCCCATATGCGGCCTGGTGCAGAATTGGGATATAAGGGGGTTGCGTGAGCTAATTACTTATGCGAACACATGGCGTATGCGCAATGCCAAGATTCAAGTAAATTCTCTTAATAAAGTGCATCACAACTGCAGGAGAGGCACTTTCTCTGCTTCCGCTGAGCCATACTTCTTGTTGTTGTCCTATGAATAAATAAGGATGGTGCGTGCAACCCCACCCCCACCCTCCCACCCCCTGCCACGTGTTAAATGGGATAAAAGCAAATCGAAATTGAAAAAGGTGTCGCTGTCATCAGCGTTTCTGCTTCTGTTTTTGTAATAAAGTGGAATTTGGCACGTCGCGTCGGACTTAACGCGGCGATTTCATTTCGTTTAATACGCGCACAAATAACTGGCGAGGCGGGGGGCGAGCCGATGGGAGTTCCATTCGCCTGACAATGGCAAAATGCACAAAATAAATGCAATAAAATGATTGGCATGCCCCGCTGTGCAGACGTGTGGTGTGTTTGAATGTGTGTGTGTGTGTGTGTGTGAGAGTGTGTGTGTGTGTGGGTGTGGTCGTGGTCGTGGGAGCGTGCGTATGTGATGGTCAGCCTTTGTCGCCTTGGTCTTTTCTGGATGCCAAGCCAGGTGCCGTTTGGGCCCTGTTAATAAAGCGCTTATGAAATTTCATTTATGCCCTCGGCTTGTCCGATCTCTCACTACCAAGCACCCGCTCGTCCGCCCATCCGCCCCATTGCCCGTCCCCCTCACACGCTCCCTTAACAATTTTTATTATTAATAAATTTTGTTTGGTGCAGTTGCAGCTGGTAAACGAGTAGTAGTTACGGCTACAGATACGGCTGCATAAGGTATGCCATCCCCCGTTTGGAATTTCAGCTACTGGAATTTTCATTTTAAACAAGCTGCAATTTGCAGTTGTTTCTTCTTTCTCGTTTTCCGCTGTCTATGATGGCTATATATCTGCTTATATATCTGTGTATACTATACATACATATGTACGGGTATATACCAGTCTGGTTATAGGAAGGAGTGGGCTTTTTCATTACATTTACCGCCCGGGATTGGTTTACTTTATTTGACTTACCCAAATAAGCTTGCTGCGGCTCCGCCATTTGTATGAGCGCCGAGTCCTTTTTGTTGTACAAGATCTTTACACGCTGCACATCGCCATATACGCCTGTGAATTGGGTAAGAGTGGGAGTTATTAGCGAGGATTTGGGCTTACTGCATTGCTTTTCTTTTATGCGATTGCGCATAATAGCATAATAATATACTTGTAGTATATAAAAAAAGAAATATTAAATCGTTAATACATTTTATTAGCGACTGGCTAAAGGACTAACATTCATTGTAGCTGAAGAGTGCTAGGATCAATTCAGAAATGCCGCTAAATTTCATAATTTAAGGAATAGTTCTACCTCAACTCCTGGAAGCAACGATTTAAGATCTATTTTTGAATGAGAAAAGGTTGATATTTAGATGAAAACATAGGTAATTTAGCTGAGAGATATTTGTTCACCCCATATAGCTAGAGCCGCCCGCCCATCTATATAGTATCTGTGTTGATCAAACTTGGTCTACACTATCCACTAATTCCGTAAAACGTACAACACTATTTGATTTTGTATAGCTTACAGCTCGTTTAACAATAAATGTAATCTCTACCCACGCTCTGCTAGAAGGTGTTGTTGTTGCTGCTTTGGCTCATTGTCAAGTAAAACTACCATACATATGTATACTATATATTACATATATGTACTTCTTAACATCCTTGTTCGTCTTAGTTGACAATTAGGGGTTTAAATATCTGTAGCCAGCTGTTATAAGAGCTTCACCTGTTTTCCCAAATTATCGGCCCACCCACAAGTCGACAAAGTATCTCTGGTTACAAGTTGTTCTCGCGCATTTTGTGTTGCCGAAACTTAAAAATGCAGACGGCTTCATGGACGCCAAGTTTCATCCTTCCCAAGCACGCATAACATGCGCGCAGTGTTTGCCCCTTCCCTGTGCAACAGCCACCCTTCGAGGCGTGCAACACTAAAGTGAGCCACATGCTTCATATTATTACCGAGCCCTGCGCGGTTTCTGTTCGCAGTTCCTTGTATGCGAAAGTCATAACTAGCTCAATAAGTTTCCCAAGCCGTTCTTTACGACTGGCGGCGCCAACGGCAACATCAACGAGCCCTGTAGCATCCTTTTTAATGCTTTTGCACGCGGCTGATTTTACAGCTGCTTGCTCTGCCAGACGTCGCATCGGTGCCGGCATGCGGAGGTGGAGGTGGAGCTGTGCTGGAGGGCTGGTGGAGGGGATTCGCCCACGTTATTGAATTGTGTTTTATGACTTAGCTTGCACAGAAATACCCTATAAAGTAGGCGGTGGAGCGGGGTGTGCAAGTTTTGGTCAAACTTTAAAAATTTAAATGCCCCATCCATCGGTTGCTGACCAAAGTGGCAGATGGACAGGTGGGACCAACAAGAAGAAGTTTGTTTTTCTTATTTTAATTTCCAAGTGGAAAGTCCATTTGCTTGGTCAATGCACTTTGCTTTGACAGCTGAAGCGGACCGAGGCGAATCGAATCGACAGAGTTGGGCTAAGCTGAACACTACTCGTCGTCCATGTGTAGCCAATCAGCGGCAAATTTGCAGCAAAGCGTAAATTGCCATCAAGCATAAAAAATAGTTGGTAGCTAAAAGGTCGCACCAGGACAGTCCACCCCACCCCACCCCATCCCATCCCTTTTGGCTGCCCCGCAATGCAAACAATGTAAAGTGCAGGCAAAGACCAAGGTGGCGTCCCCAAGACAACAAATCGAATAATGCGAAAAGTAAATTTTCAACTAGCCAAAAAAGCACGGAGCACGGAGCACGCATCATGAGAGAGCACTGGTGGATGGTTGAGGGTGGAGGGTGGAGGAGGGGCTTAACTGTAAAAACGAACGGAGCGACCAAGCGCTAACAAGTTACAAAAGTAGCAATAGAAATGCAGGTAGTAAATAGTGCGGTGCACAGTTCAACAGTTGGCAGTAAATCCATTTTATTCAGACGACTGCTCCTCCTCCTGCTTACCCGCACCCGACTCGCCCGGATTGCCTGGCTGACTGAGCAGAGCTCTGACTTGTGCCAAACACCGAAAAATTCTTGGGGCGGCGGGCGAGCAGAAGTTTCGTTTGCAAGAAATTGGCTTGGCATAGCAACACAACTGCAGCAATAAAGCAGGCAAGTCAGGCGGACGAGACGGCATCTGCAGTGGATGCTCCGATCAGTAAACATATCTGGTTCCCGAGAATTTCAACAAATGCTTCAGCTAGTACAACTTTACTTAAACTTTTCTTTTTTTGTATATCAATCTAATGGCGCATCAATTTTGAGTATAAGTTGAACCAATATTGTGGAAGAAAATCCCAGCTTAAGTTTATGTGGAGTACGATTTAAAAAATAACAAACATCGGTCGATCTAACATATGCAGGTCCATGGGACAGCAATATTAAAAACATGAATTCTTCATATCTTTTTTTTATCATTTCCTAGTTTTTTCCAAGCAGTTTTCACCGTACTAGTTTCTGTGTCAGCAGCAGCACCAGAACCAGTAGCAGCAGCATCTGAAGGCATTATCAGTGGAGCGTATTGATGCCAAGCGTTGTTGCCCACCCAGCCTGCCTGGCTTGGCCATCATGGCCAACATGGCCACCACTGCAATGCCAATTCACGTTCAACGGGGCGTATGTGCAGCTGCTGTCTGCCGCTTACTGCTGTTGCCTGCCTGCTGTCGGTTGCTATGCAAAGTGGCAGCCACTGGCGCCGCTTCCTCTGCTGCTGCAGGCCGCCCGCAGACAGACTTGATAATAATTTATTATCGTGAAAAAGATTTAGCTATATTTGTACTATGACTATGTGGACGGACCCCGGCACTCACCAGCGCCAGGACATGCCAAGCGGCTGACTTTGAAAATGTTTGCATGCTTTTTGGCGTACGCCAACGTTGCGCTGATTCCCTGGTGCCCCATTAGTTGCATGTTCGAGCATGTTTTAGATGAAGAAATATGCGAGCCGGCACTGCCGTCGTCATCGTCGTCGTGAACGCCGTCGTCTACATCGTCGTTGTTTGATGGCAGCACAAATTTTAGTGGTGCGGCTGGTATGCGGCTCTAGGAAGCGCCCGAGTCTATTATTTTTTGGCAGTAGGCATGACATATTCTGCGGCCATGGTGCAGTACAGGACAAGTAGGAGTATGTCCTTTGAAATGAGCTTCTTGCATAAGCGATCGGGAAAATGGGTTTATGTTCTAACAAAAAGTATCTCAACTGATCATCCTTTGTTATGTAATGTGTTTTGCGAATAATTATCTTTTTGAAATTCAATCTAGGACGTAGCCATGTTAATTGGATTTGGAGATGCTATTTTAAAGAACAAATTGCACAAACTTTCTTTCCAATACAGTATCCAGTGGTGGCTATAGTTCCAAAAGGTTGCTTTATCTGTAAAAATAATACATTTCTCTTTAGTGTTAATTTATTTTGTTTTAGTTGTCCTTCCAAATGTAGCCATGGACGACTCCAATTTCGGTAGAGCAACATCAAAAGTTCTTTGGGTAATGTTGGCCTAATAACATGGCTGGCCAGCCTGGCTTCGCCTGACGTGCCATCATATGGCAAGATAGTTGCAGGCACACATTAGAACTAATCGGACTTGGTAAATTATTGAGCAAATTATTGAAGTGAATGCACACACATTGTGTCTTCTTCCCTTTCTATTTGCACATAAAAATTGATGCTATTTGCTTTTTCTGAACTGAACTGAACTGAACTCAATAACAGATGGAAATCACGCACCCGCCCCCAACATCAGGTTCAATGCATAAAAATTCAATTAAACACGTTTCAACAATATTTTCGGCAATGATATAAATTTTTAGCACGCCATTACAATTACACAAGCGGATTACAAATAATCGAGCATGTGTGGCGAATTCATATGACGACCAAGGACGATAACCATGATGATGACAATGACGATGATAAGCCAAAGTGTTGTTGGACGATTTGCAAACTGATTAAGTTTTTATTGTTATGTAAAGTAGTTGCGGGCTGGGTCAGATCATCGTACTAGTAGATGAGAATGTGGCATGCAATAGCGGAGGAGGCCGAGAGTGGCAGCAACAAAGTGCCAGATACTGGATGTGAGGAACAAGGTTTCATTGAATAGCTGACAGGATAAGCGGAGTCTGTCAAGTGACTGTTTTTCTCATTTTTTTCTATTTTTTGGTGCGCATGAAGGGCCTTTTAACTTTGGCCCTTCCAATTGAGATCGTAGGTGGGTGTGTGTGTGTGTAAGTGTGTGAGTGCCAGTGTTACAACAAAGCGGTGTCAAAACTAATAAAATGTCTGACTGGCTGCCAGAAGAGAAAAAGGGTTTTCCTTTTTGCATACCTTAGTTTGCAGCATGCCTTTGTTGCGTGCCTCATCAATCTACTCGTAAATGCTGGCTGGCGTGTGAAGTGCGCTTGTCGGCGTTCGAATTTGAGTTTTTGAGTTTTGGGTTTTTCGGTTGCCGTGTGTTTATTATTTGTTATGCAAACAGCTTTCGGGCAACACACGAGTACAATACTATATATATAAAAAAACAAAACAAAATAAAATATCATGAACATCGACAATGACAACAACAACAACATAACGACGTTTAGCCAGACCACATCCTCGGCTAGTATGCCTAACGCCCAACAGCCTGCCATGTTTCCAGAGTACGATTTCCCACCTCGATGTCGACGTCAAGGTAGACATTCGTGGGATCGGCATCGATGGAAACGTTGACGTTCGCGTTATGTTGAAATTGGTGTTACGTGCCGCTGCGAGTTCCCATTAACATAACAAAAGGAGCAGCAGAATCATGTGTGTGGCGGTTCCCAGCTGCCAGCTGCCACCTGCCAGCAGCCAGTAGTATGCTTTTTGTTGTACAACTTACTTCAAGTGTCATTGGCAATACACAAGTGACCTCCAATCCCCCCCTCGATTAGTCTCCTCGCGCCACAGCTCTGAGGCGAGATACTTAAATATTCAAAGGTTATTAAATAAAATTTCAGCTTGCCATTTAGCTGATTGCGCGTTTAGTGTCTGCGCTTGCCATCAATTACATGGCAACTTGATCTAAATCTATTGACACGCTCTTCAAGGTGGTG